CTTTAATTTCAAATTGTTGGGATAGGAATTGCTTGAGTTTCTGAATCTTCTTAACGTGATCATCTGTAAGGATGATGTCATAACGTATACAATCAAAATGACTTTCTTACCTGAGGTGCAATGTTTGACAAATAGTGTATGATCGGATTGATATTGTTCATATATTTCATGTTCTACAGTTCTTGTGAATCTATCAAATCATGCCTTTGAAGATTGTTTTAAGTCATAGAGTGATTTCTTCAGTTTGTACACTTTCTGAGGATTGTCTGTTAGTTCAAACCCTGGTGGTATATCCATATATACTTCTTCTAGATCATCATTAAGAAATGCATTCTTCACATCTAGTTGGCAAAATGGCCAATTAAGGTTAGATGCAAGTGAAAAAGTACCCGAATAGTATTGTGTTTGGCTACTGGAGTAAAAGTCTCCTGATAGTTTACTCCATATGACTAAGTGTAGCCTTTGGCTACCAGGCGAGCCTTATACCGATTCACACTCCCATCTGGATCATACTTAGTTGTGAAGACCCATTTGCACCCCACTTAGTGCTTTCTTGGAGGTAGATCAACTAATTCTCATGTCTCATTCTTTTCAAGTGTCTTGATTTTCTCTTGAACAATTATCTTTCATTCAAGTATTTACAAAACTTCATGAATTGTTTTGGGCTCTGATAATTACTGTCTATCCTGCATATAAAAGTATGATGTTCCGAAGATAGCTTGTCCAAAGGAACATAGTCTTGTATAGGATGTTTAGTGCATGTCCGAGTCCCGTTTCTCAAAGTAATAGGAACATCAATATCAGTATTTAAAGTAGGAGCAGAGATTACATCACCTGGATCAATGGTGGATTCATGGGTTTGGATGATTTAAGTGTTTTTTCTATGTTTTTTATAGTATAGACACATAGCTCATTAGCTGAGGTAATGTGTTCTCTATAACTGGTTTTGGTTCAGGTTCTAGGGAAGGCTTGCTTGGTGAGGAATGACTCTGTGGATATAGAGGAGGTATACACACATCCCATTACTGATATTTCTGAGTAAATGTCTCCCCCTGAATATCAGTTGTGGGGTAAAAAGGTTGGTTTTCAAAAAATGTGACATCCATTGTATTATAGAAGTAACGGGTTTCCAAAACTAGAAATTTGTATCCTTTCTGATGAACAGAGTACCCAATAAAAATGCATTTTATGGCTCTTGGATTAAGTTCCTCACGGAGGTGTTTGTGAATATGAACATAAACTGAACAACCAAAAACTTTGAGTGGTAATGTATTTAAAATATGAGATTCATAAAAGATTTGTGAAAGAATGGCGTAAGGTGATTGAAATTGTAAGATCTGGGAGGGTATCCGATTTATCAGGTAGGAAGCAGAAAGAACTGCCTCTCCCCAAAGGAATTTTGGTACATGAGTGGTGAACATAATTGATCTAGTTACGTGAAGAATATGTCTATTTTTTCTTTCGACTATGCCGTTTTGCTGTGGGGTACGAACACGAGTTTTGATGAATAATTCCATGTTCAATAAAGTATTTTTCAATGGTGACTTCAAAATATTCACAAGTATTGTCAAATTTCAACACTTAGATGGTAGCCTGAAATTGGGTTCAAATCATTATATGTAACTTTTTAAATAGAGGTTCAACTTCTGATTTTTCTTTCATGAGAAACACCCACGTAATTCTTGTATGGTCATCAATGAAGGATGTAAATCATCTAGTTCCGGTGATGTTGGAGACCTTGGAGGGTCTCCATACATCGCTATGAATCAATGTAAATGGTTTTGAAGATTTATATGGTAAACTAGGGAATGAACTTCGAACATGTTTAGAAAATTAGCATATTTCACACTGAAAAGAAACTGGATCTTTTTCTTTAAATAGTAAAGGGAACATCTTTTTCAAATATATAAAATTTGGATGTTCTAGTTTATAGTACCACAACATGATATCATGGTCTTTATTTGCAGAAATAGAAACAGAGTTTGCACATATTGCTTTGTGAGCTTGTCTTCTAGAAGTATTGATTTGAAACAAGTATAATCCTGAGCTCACTGCCAATCGTTCTCTCCGAGTACAAGTCCTGAAATTCACACATATTAGAGACAAATTGTGCAGTACATTTTAAGTCTTCATATAGTTTACTAACTGATAGTAAATTACAATCCAAATTTGGAGTATAGAGAACTGAACACAAAGTTAAATTTGGAAATAAATTTACAGAGTCAATTCAGCCACTTTTGAAATAGAACCATCAGCAATTCTAATTGAAAAAACTTTTTCACAC